TAGAGAAATAAATAGAAAAGCTAGAAGTTCTACATTACAATTCTTCATAGTATAAATTAAGAAGATAAAGAAATAAACTTAAAAGATAAAGGTTACAGTTCTTCCACAGCCTGCAGTCTATCCATGCTGTGGGCCTTCCACATGTGATCTCACTGTCCCCGCACCACCGGCCTTGAGATATGTGACAGGTTGACCGCACGGAGCCCCAGGCCACCGGCCGACTCTGCTTGGCCCAGGCCTAACAACCGCTGACCGTCCCACTCCACACCAGCCCTCCGCCCGCTGGCCATCCTGCTTGGCACCACCCCGCTGACCGCTGGCTGTTTAAGTTGTATATATATATTCTCATTGTTCCAGTTAAAGTTACATTACCATAAATAGAACTTTGTTTTCTTAGTTAGTGAAGTTACCTGGTGTGAATTGCAGGCAGTCAGTCATCATTTTGGCGGTCTCATTGGGGTTTGATACATTTAATGACAGCTTGTGGAAGTGTGAGGCACAGTCATTACTGCACTCTCCTAGTTAACTCATGACAGTGCAGCCTAGGGAAGCTAGTGGGGTACTTTTCCAAGAACTTAAACTCGTATCAGACGTATTCAACAGTGGGAAAGGAGGCACTGAGAGTATAGTTGGCTCTTCAACATTTATGTTACAGTTGCAAAGAAACACTAATATGTGTTAATCATAATCCCTTGGCTTTTGTTTCAAAATTTAAAACTTGAAGAGTGAGATTGTTTTGATGGAACTTATTAATTCACTCATATGATAGAAAAGTTGGTCACATTGCTGACGCTGTCATGAAGGAGTCTCTTCCTTAACCTCTCTGTCATGACCCTCAGGTTAAACCATCACCAGTCCCCTCTCTCTCTGTGATAACAAGGCGTAGTGCTGGATGAAAACAGCAGGCCAAGCAGCATCAGAGGAGCAGGAAAGCTGACGTTTCGGGCCTAGACCCTTCTTCAGAAAAAATTTTTTTTCAGTGAAAAGTGTTGTTTTGTATGCTGTACTGTCAGATCATACCATACAAAGTGCATCAGTGTAGCAGGACAGAGTGCAGAAAACAGTGTTACAGCTGCAGAGAAGGTGCAGACAGAGAGAGAGAGAGCAAGATCAGAATTAACATTTGAGTAGTCCGTTCAAAAGTCTGATAACAGCGGGGAAGAAGCTGTTCTTGAATCTCCTCATATGTGTATATAAACTTTTGTATCTTCCACCTGATGGAAGAGGGTGGAAGAGAGTATAACCAGGGGTGGGAAGCATCTTTGATTATGTTGGTTGCTTTCCTGAGGCTGTGCGAAGTATAGACAGAGTCGATGATGGAAGGCTGGTTTGCATGATGGACTGGGCTGTGTTCACAACTCTCTGTAGTTTCTTGGGCAGAGCAGTTGCCATACCATGCTGTGATGCATCCAGATAGGATGCTTTCTACGGTGCATCTATAATAATTGGTAAGAATCCTTGCGCACATGCCGAATTTCCCTAGCCTCCTGAGGAAGTCGAGGCGTTGGTGTGCCAAATGTCTGCCCACGACATCTGCCTCTCAAGTTTGTGCAGGGCCCATATCAGTTAAAGCTGAGCTGCATCTCTTAAAGGGGAGCTGCATTCTGGCGGTGACAGATACGGACCCAGCTGGAATGGTGCGGCTGACCGGGGTGTAGGGAGGGGGAGGGGGCATGTTCTCGGATGCTGGGCTGGATGTTTTAAGTGCCAAAGTCAGATAGAAGGAGCCAAGTGGACTTCCGAACACAAATGGTGCAGCCAATGGGGGCCACGTGGCTAGGGTAGTCAAGGGCAACAGCCCCACCTAGAGGAGCTGACTGCAATGCCCCAAAGAAATCAATAACCTCACTCGAACTGTCAAGGTCATCATCAAAGACCATATCCTATCAAAGGTAACTCTACTCTCACACATTTACCCCAGCACCACACCGCCTTCACCGTCTATCAACAATCTCTGACAAGCGCCGGTCCAAGCCTGTGTTTTTGTGCTTCTCTCACTGGCAACACGTTCAGTGTGACAGGGCGTTTCGCACTCACTCAGTTATTCAACTGGGGCAGGCACCTCCCCCAAACACACCTCAGTACACTCAAGCGGCAAACGAACCTCTCTTTTGTACAGCAGCAGTGGCTTGTAATGGGCAGCAGAGGTGCCAGGGTGGGGAGACTGGCAACAACACCGTGAGACTGGTTAGGGGACAGGGGGGTCAGGCAGCAGCTGCAAAACCTTGTGTAAAAAATAGGAGCAGACATCACGGCGTGCTGCGTAACCCATTGAGAATCACCGTACTAGCCCACCCTCTCACACCTCAATTCGTCCGTTCTGAGTTAGCGCCTATACATGGTACACAATGCACCCAGTGCCCAGTCCATTACTCCGGGTGTCACCCCAACTCTATCCAGGAACAGGCACCTGGCCAGCCCGAGGAGTGGAAAATGGAACCCCTCGAGGGAGAAGCGCTACCCTAACCCTCCCCTCCAATGTTGATGTGAGAGTGGTAGCTACTTATTGATTGTGCACGCTGATGGGGGATGGGGCATTGTGTTGGGATCTGGTGAGACCCTCTGCCCAACTGGGCTGCACTCTGAACGTGGGGGAGGTTATGCCACCCTGCAGGGTGAGGCCACACACAAACTCAGACGGGCACTTGGATAAAAAGCATGGAGAAAAATCCCGATGGGCACGAGTTGAGCTGACACTACCACCTGTTGTCACTGAGCCGGAGTGGGGAAGGAGTCCTGCAGAAAGTTGGCACGTGGCATTGTCAAGAGTTTACAGCCCATTTCTTGCAGCATGAAAGTGGCTCCTTGGGAACATTTACTAAATCCAGCCACTGCCCAGAAGCTCTGACTGCAAACCACAGGATCTTAGCTCAGCTTCGTGGAGCGTGAATCTGCTGCCCTCTGCCAGGACGACAGAATTCATTGTGCCATCTGTGCTAGTTCAGCTTAGACTGCTCCTGCCCGTGCCAAGCTGGTCCCACACCTGGCCTTTAAAGCTCAGAGTAGTTTGAGATGAGACTATGAAATGATCTGCATTTTCCCCAGCCACTGACTGCCTTTAACCAGCTGTACTGCAATCATTGGGATGGAACTATGGACGAGATTCAGAGAGGTAAAGTAACTCAATGCAGGGAACACAACAGTTGTTTCAATGCCCTGGTTGTCTGTTCCTTGTGGCAGCCTGCCTCTCAACACACCAGTGCCAATGGTGTGCACTTGGGTTGTGGAGGGAGTCAGCAGCCAGCTGTAAAGGGCATGGCCTTTGTTGGCATAGCACTGGGCAGTCAGGACTACTGCCAGGATAGCAGGCATCCATCAGCATGTTTCACTGGGCTTCGCAGCACACTGAAGGGGCAAACAACACCAGGCTCAGGACCTTCCAATATTAAAGATGCAGTGACTGCAAAAGTAGCATGCATGCAATGGAAGGGGCATCCTGCATTACAGGGGATCCTGCTAACAAGTTGTCTGCGCAGAGGGAAGCTTGTGGGAGACCCTCCGCTTGTGGCACATGGGTCTCTGTCGCCTCCTGGACGTGGGGATGAAAGATAAACTGTAAGATCGATATACTGCCTCACCTCTTCCATGCGCAGTCACCATCATGTCCACAGGCAGTGCCATCCTCTCCCTCATGCATCTCTGAGACTGTGGGCCTGCTTTCCCCCGAGGTTCTGTGAAGTGGGAGAACTGCAGACTACCCAACAAGCACACTGCTCCTGGCTTCACAGTAGGAGGTGCGTGAAGAGTTGCCTGAAGACCCCGGGTAAGTAGTGCTCCTCTTCAGTCTTCCTACACACCACCCCCTAAATCCCGCCCCGACCTCTGTGTACAATGTACCTGATTCGCTCTCTCAGCTCTATTTGCTGCAGCCAGTGGATGTCAGCTGTTATAGTGAAAAGGAGCAAATGGTCTGCTCCAGACCTTGGCAAAGTCAACTATGGCTGCAGGGCTCCCTGTTAAGGATTCCTGCAAATGTCCAACATGCTCAGAGACAGCCGGTAATCAGCAACTAAGCTGCAAGCCATAGAGTCATACAGCACGGAAACAGACCCTTCGGTCCAACTCGTCCATGCCGACCAGATATCCTAAATTAATCTCGTCCCATTTGCCAACATTTGGCTCATATCCCTCTAAACTCTTCCCATTCATTAACCCATCCAGATGCCTTTTAAATGTTGTAATTGTACCAGTCTCCACCACTTCCTCTGGCAGCTCATTCCACACACGCACCACCCTCTGTGTGAAACAGTTACCCCTCAGGTCCCTTTGTAAATCTTTCTCCTCTCACCTTAAACCTATGCCCTCTAGTTTTTGACTCCCCCACCCTGGGGAAAAAAACCTTAGCTATTCACCCTATCAATGGCCCTCACAATTTTATAAACCTCTGTAAGGTCACTCCACAGCCTCCGACGCTCCAGGGGAAAACTAAGCCCCAGCCTATTCAGAAGCAAAAACAGAAATTGCTAGAAAAATTCAGCAGGTCTGGCAGCATCTGTGGAGAGAAATCAAGAGTTAAGGTTTTGGGTCTGGGCACTCTTTATAGGAATGGATGGTAGCTAGCTTCAGCATCTCCCTATAACTCACACCCTCCAGTCCAGGCGACATCCCTGCAATCTTAAATTAACTGAAGCCACGATGTCCACAGTCTTTATTGCAAGTGTTTGCCAAATGATGTCTCTGAGGCATGATGGGGTGTCCCACATGCAGCCCAGTGGAGGACCTCAGCAGCCTGGGAATCCCGTTAGACCTCAGGCGGATCCCTTGGAGAGAGGCAGTCTCTTTCACGCTGTGGGAGCTGGCTGGAAGTTTGCTGCTTCTCCAGCACCTTTATGCAAGGCATCCGATTGGAGAGGGTAGTAACTGCAGTGGACTACAAGTCCCAGGTCGCCGGCGCTGAAGGCAGGGGCGGCCCCTGCAGGCTTAGGGAGGGACTGCGGCTCCGAGGGGATAAAAAGCCGGAGCTCAGCCGCAGGTCCTGAGCATTTTAAAGAGGGATCTTAACACTGGCAGTACGAGCAAGGATGGCCGGTAAACAACAGCCACCTTACCTGAACCTAGCTGAACTCACCGCCTCCCAGTTCCTGGAAATCTGGAAGCATTATGATGCAGACGGTGAGCTCAATATCTATTTGCAAAAAAAATTTTTTTTTAAAGAAAAACATTTTTGAATGAAATACTAATCATTGAGCAAACTAATATTATCTATTTTTTAGAAATAATTTACAATCCACTCGTGAACCGAACGTGTGTTTTTTTTTAAATACAGCACAGGGGTTAGTTGTAATTTTGAGAGTTGCAATTTTGTTAGCAATTCTCTGGTTGCTAACTGCCTCAGAATTTGGAGCTTTTAGCAATTTGCCAAAAGAATTTACACTTGAATGAAGAGGTTTCTATTGCTTTCCTCCAAAAAAAATACACGAGATAAAACTTTGCAGTGATGTATTGCCTTGCTGGAGTTGTTAAGGAGGAGGATAGAGAAATATCTTTCCGGCTGGAGATAGAGGCTGCACCCAGACATTTCAGGATGGGACTGGTTGCTGAGTTACTGTTTACACGCCTCATTTCAACAAGTTCCCAGACGCATCCCTGTGCCAGACAGTGGGGTTCGCCCTTTGTTAAAATCCTCAGCAGTCACCTCGTCTCTGTTAGGGATGTGTCTGAGATAACAGCTGGCTAACCGTGCCTCTTTCTGTTGTACAGGGAATGGCTACATTGAAGGGAAAGAGCTGGAGAACTTCATTCGGGAACTGCAGCGAGTGAGGAGAGGGGCCGGTGTGGTGAGTATACGTTTCTCACAGCTCCCTTACTCCGCTGCTTTTTAAAGTTGCTGTCTACTGGGAGACAGATTCATTTTGCTCAGACTTCTGACGGCGTGAGGGACTGACATCACGTACGGGGGACACAGGGAAACCGAGGTGTTAGAAACCGAGAGAGATTGACGCAGACACAGCAGAGAGTGAGGACTATACAGAGCTGAGATGTAGAAATTAGACAATAGGAGCTGAGTGTAGAGAGAGACGGGGGTTAGAGATAGAGCTGAGTGTAGAGAGAGACGGGGATTAGACAGTAGGAGCTGAGTGTAGAGAGAGACAGGGATTAGAGAGAGAGAGAGAGCTGAGTGTAGAGAGAGAGCGGGATTAGAGAGAGAGCTGAGTGTAGAGAGAGAGAGATAAAGGGATTAGAGAGAGGGAGCAGAGTGTAGAGAGAGAGAGACAGGGATTAGACAAGGAATCCTGCATGTTGAGAGAGAGAGAGAGACAGGGATTAGACAGTAGGAGCTGAGTGTAGAGAGAGACAGGGATTAGACAGGGAGAGTTGAGTGTAGAGAGTCAGGGATTAGAGAGAGAGTTGAATGTAGAGAGAGACAGGAATTAGGGAGAGCTGAATGCAGAAAGAGAGAAACAGGGATTAGACAGGGAGACCTGAATGTTGAGAGATAGAGAGCGCTGAGTGTTGAGAATGTCCGAGATTAGACACAGAGTTGACCGTAGAGAGAGAGATTAGAGAAAGAAAGAGCTGGGTATAGACAGACGGGAAGGAGAGAGAGAGAACTGAGTGTAGAGAGTGACCAAGACTAGACACAGAGAGTTGAGTGTAAGAGAGGCAGAGGTTAGAGGGAGAGAGCTGAGTTTAGAGACAGAGAGAGCAATTAGGGAGAGCTGATTATAGAGAGAGAGAGAGCTGAGTGCTGAGAGAGGCAGGGATTAGACAGAAGGAGCTGAGTGTAGAGAGAGAGACAGGGATTAGACAGGGAGAGCTGAGTGTAGACAGAGACAGGGATTAGACAGGGAGATCTGTGTAGAGAGAGAGAGAGAGAGAAAACATGCAGATACAAAAAGAAAGACAGCAATAGAAGCAGTGATGAACAACAGTGTGAGCATGACCTGAGCAATCAGCCAGAGAGAAGGGGACCGAGACAGATTGAGAAAGACTATGAAAAAAACAGAGACACAAAGCGAATTCAGCAGAGATACACACACTACAGGTAAAGCCAACTGAGAGGAAGGGGCAGAGACAGACCAACAGAGAGAGACAAATGCATTCTGTCTTGTTTAAATGTGAGAAGGTAAGGCACTGAGAGGGAGGGAGAGGTATTTACAGTGACATAGCAAGGGACAAAGAGACAGAAACAAGAAAAATGAAAAAAATTACAAAAGAAACCAGCAGACAGTGAGAAAACAGACAGTCAGAGGCACTGAAGAAAGAGACAAATACAGTGAGAGAGAGGTATTTTGAATTGGGAAGTGAGTGTCTGGGTGAGGATGGATGAGAAAGAGAGAGAGAGAGACCCTACCAGACGGACAAATAGGTTGTTAGATAGAGATTGAGCCTGATAGATAAGATGGATAGTCTCTGAGGAAGACAGAACAACAGCCAGATGGAGAAAAGAAAGACATAAATAATGACCTCCATTCACCTTCTCCTGAATGCCGTTAGATTGATGTGAAAGAATCTTGTTCTGACAGCAGATATTAATAAGAAGCTGAGAAAAAAGAGAATACTGGGAGATATGAAATCAGTAAATTGACAGCAGGTTTGTCAGTGTGTGTCAGGGAAAGATTATTTAATGTTTCAGATCTCCCTGCAGTTCAGCCTGTTGTTCAGTGGGGGTGGGTTAATGAAGCTTCTAGATGCTCCACACCCTGACCTGAAAAAGAGAAAAATAGACCGAGATAGAACGAGAGAGAGAGAGGCTGAGAGATAGGAAGTGAGAGAATGGATGAGAAAGACAGGGAGAGGCAACCTGGCAGACAACATCAGCACCACCCGCACCCTATCTGATCAGAACCGACTCCCACCACCCCCCACTATCCCCCCCACCCCCAACCCATCCTCCCTGATCATCTGGGGTGGGCATGCTCATTCTGCAGGCTCGGCTGACTGTGTCCTCATTCATACTGGACCTGCAGCTCACTGGGACATCTCCAACTCCACTGACACAGTGAGACACTCTGCAGGCTCTCCCATAGCCATATTGGTAAATGAGCGATAGGCAGTCTCCATTGTCTGTTCTCCGATTGAACAACAGAAAGGCCTTACCAACTGGCATCAGTGCCCTTGGGCAGTACATGGGGTGCGAGGTGGGTGTGGTGAGGTGATGTTCACTCAGTGAATGGGTTGCGCTGTCAGTCAGGGGGAGGGGGAGTGAGTGGGTGGGGCGTGGAGGTGAAAAATTGGGAGAGTGCGTTGACGTTTCAAGGCACAGAGCAGCTGATCTAGTGACTCTGCTAACAGATACTGAGTGGGGCTCTGATTTGAGACACAACGATTGGGATGGGTACAGGAAGACTGAGGGCAGGAAGTCAGCTCCTGTTGGGATCACCTTGGTGGGATCAGACAGGAATTTTCATATTCTTTCCCCAGATTGGTCCCTATGTCTTTATTTGTTCTTTTACCCTCCTGTCCCAGGAGATGTAGTTTGGATACTGTGGAGTGGAAAGTGCAAATTCTGAAATACATGAGGTACTACAGTTTGCCAATGAAGGGTATACCTGGACAGGTATTGTGTGGGATTGTCTGACTGACTGGAGCAAGTGGTCTTTTCCTGTTCAATACTGTTTCTGTGTGTCCACATTCCCAAACAAGAAATAAGGTGTTCATAATATTTGTCACATCCTCAGAACCCTGGCCACCAACTCTACCCCTGTCCTTGACAACTGTTTGAGGTTGTAACTTTGAAGCTTTGGCCTCACATCTGAGACTGAGCTGAACATCTGACCTCATATTTACACCATCACCAGGATTGCTTCAGTTTCCACCCTTTGTAAACCACCCACCGCGCCCCCCCTCCCTGCCCCGTTCCCCATCTCCCCCTTATTCATGTCCCAGTTATCTCCAGGCATGACTTTTCCAACAAAACGCTGGCAATCTGCCCCTGCCATAAACCTGAGGTCATCCAAAACTCTTGGCACCCATCAAGTCCTATTTCCTCTATCATTGCTGTGCTCGCTGACCTACGTTGGTCAAGTAACATGTTGATTTTTGTAACTCTCATTTTTGTTTTCAAGTCCCTCCTTGGCCTCAGCCGTCTCTACCTCCTCCAGTCCTACAACCCTCCAAGATAATCTGAGCTCCTCCAGTCAGGCTTCTTGCTAACTACCATTGGTGGAGCTGCTAAGGACCCAAAACTCTGGAATTCACCCCCTGAATCGTCCTGCCTCTCTACCTCTATTTCCCGCTTTAAAAATACTCCATAAAATCTATTTTCTATCAAAGCTTTTGGTCATCTGCTTCTCAAAGGTGGATTACAATGCACTCCTGTGAAGTGCCTCTGATTGTTTCACCACATTAAAGGTGCCAGATAAACCCAAGCCCTTGTTGTTGCAAAGTCTGTCAGGGAGAGGAGTGAGGAATAAACCCTTTGCAGAATGTGGGACTGTCAGGATATTGAATGAACTTCAGCACGAATGGATTTCACTGCGATCCCTCTAGATTCACTTTACACTGTGATGTACCTGAGTGTTGCTCATGCGTCTAATCTGCAATGTTCTTGTATAATCTGACTCCCTTCAAGGGTGGCACGGGAGGAAAAATAGGCTTTTCGATGTTGTCTGCCTTGGAGGGGGTGGGGGTGTGGGGGGCTGGGGTGGGTGGTGTGGTCCTGTAAAGTGGTTTTGTTTCCTGAGAGTCCGTTGCTGGTTACAATCAGTGTGAGAGGATGGGACAGAGGCCAGGCTTCCTTTGTCGCTGACGGGGTGACTAGGAACCAGGGGCGGGTCAAAAGTCAATGTAGTGGGTCTCAGTGAGAGACTGGAGCTTGTAGTGACCAGGGATTCGGTGGGTTTTCCAAGAGCCGGGAAGATTAAAGGGGCAAAGACAGAGGGACTGAGATTTGAGTCGTACTGTGACCGATGAAAATTGGTCTGGAGTACTTGACCCACTGCACTTTGGAAAGGATCTATGAACATGGGGAAAAGGGCAGCCATTTCCATGGTTACTCTAGTGATCAACTATAGTTGTCAACCAACTGTATGCAGGGAGTTTACTCCCGACTAGTCAGAGTGAAAACGCTGAGGAATACAGATAAAAAGCAGTATCTCTATACCCACTTTTAATTACATTAGCATCTCATTATCCAGATTACAATCTGATTTCATATAAATATAAGAAACAGGTGCTCATTCTAAATCATAGGTTAATGTTAGCATCTCCTTCACCCAGTCAACGATCGACTGATCTTATTCTAGCTTGGCACTGTTTTGCTCCCTTCTGTATCAGTGTCTGTTACCACCCCCGCCCAACTGTCTCTGCATTCCATGTGACTCCAGGGCTTTCCAACATTATTTCTGGTAGTTCTGTTTGTATAAGGTTCTCCTCCAAATTGCTGCTGACTGGCCTTTTAGGGTGTGTAATGTTGTTTGTGGATTTGCATCTGCCACTAAAAAATAGCTTTTTAATGTTTACGTTCTGGATCCCTGTCACAGCGGCACAGATCCACCAGAATGAGACCAATGGTCCAGATAGGAGATTAAATTGTATCAGAGAGACAAGCTATTTCTGAGGGAAGATTTCTTCGTGTGAAAGATGGGAGAAGGCAAAAATTATTCCCATTTAAAGGAATAAAACACAAGAGATGCTGTGACTCAGTTAATTATTTTAAATCAAGGGTCAATGGATTTTGTCAATTAAGAGTATTAAAGGATCTGGAATCGAGGCAGATGAATGGATTTAAAGTATAGATTGTGATTTTGGTGGGGTGCTGAATAATCTATCTCTGTTCCTAATTTCTTCGCATTCTTAAAATTTGATCCAAAGGTGAAATGTAAACAATTGCATT